AGTTTTATTCCAAATATATTGTTATTTAGGTATTATTTTTTCTAATTTAACCGATGCATGGACGTTAGCATTATTTTGAAATAGTCCTTTATTCATTTTTCTTTTGTTGGCTTAAGGTTTGTATTTGAAAAGAGGGTTGGATCTTTTTTCATGGGAGACGCGAGGTTCGTTTGAGGCTGAAAAAATCAGCAATCTGTAATTCCATCTTTTAATCAAAGATGAATTGGGGTGAGTTAATTAAAATATAATCTCCTTATTGCCATTGTCTTTGTATTCGTGGCCATGGCCTCTTATTCGTGTTAAACAAATTGCCCTTTTTGATCAAACAATTCCTTCTTTGCCAGGTGATGAATGACACCTTAAATCCATAGAATTCTTGGTTATGGTGGTTTGAATGACAAAGGACAGGGTAGCAGTTTGAGCTTTTGTGGGAAGAAAATTAATTCGAGGGTTACAATTTGAAGAAGGCTGCAAAAAATTTCCTTTAAAAAGAAAAGAAAAGAGAAGAAAAATTATTTTCTGATGATCATGTTTGATAGCCCTTATGAAAAAAAGTGAACCAACATTTGTTCCAGAATGGTTGAAAAGTACTGCTGGCACTGTTTCTGGGGGCGGTGGCAATTCAGCTCACCACCTAGCTTCCTCTTCTTTTCACTCAGGTACTCTTTGACATTTCTCATCCCAATTATACTCCGTTGCAATGTTACTGTTTGACATGTATCTGTCTGTTAGATACACCTTTGGTATGCATTTTTTGTTCCCTGAGAGTTGTGTTTCTCATTGCATTTACACTTCTTTATTTTATAGTATTTGTTGGAATTTTTGTATTAATTTTCAGAACATAAAATAACTGTATTCTTGTTATCTAGATGTTTCTTCAGTGATGCATCAGGGAAGACAGAGAAACTATACAAATATAAGTGATTTTGATTCCCCTGGCCCTTGTCATGCGTTTTTAGATCGAACATCTTCTTTTAATTCACGGAGGAGTTATAGTAATGGTTCTGCAAAGCATGCTTACAGTAGCTTTAGTAGGAGTCACCGTGATAACCAAGAAAGGGATAAAGAAAGGTCCAGTTTTGTGAACCATTGGGATCGTGATTCTTCTGATCCTTTAGATAGTATCTTAACAAGTCGGGTTGAGAAATTAGATGTCTCTACAAGTAGGGTTGAGATGGATACATTGAGGCGGTCTCATTCTATGGTCTCTAGAAAACAGGGTGAGGCTTTGCCTCGAAGGGTTGCAGTGGGCTCAGGATATAGTGGTAATATTAAACATAACAATGGCAATGATCTTCTTTCTGGGGGTGCTATAGGGAAGAGCATCCACAAGGCTGGGTTTGAGAAAGATTTTCCTTCACTTGGAACTGAAGAGAGGCAAGTGGTGCCTCAGATAGCTAGCGTTTCTTCTCCTGGTTTGAGTTCATCTGTTGGCAATTCAGCTTTGATTGGTGGGGAAGGATGGACTTCTGCTTTAGCAGAAATGCCTGCCGGGGTTGGAAGTAGTTGTTCAGGTTCTATGCCTGCACCCCTAACTGCTTCTACCTATGGTTCTGGCGGTCCAAGTGTCACAATTGGTCTTAATATGGCTGAAGCTCTAGTCCAAGCTCCTTCACGAACCCGTACTGCCCCCCAGGTAAGTGACTCAATCAATGATTTCTCATTACATGTATAACTTATATTTGTAATTTAACTAACATTCCTATTTGATACAGTTATCTGTCAATATTCAAAGGCGTGAGGAACTGGCTATTAAGCAATCAAAGCAACTGATACCAGTGACACCTGCGATGCCTAAGGGTTCGGTGAGCCTATCAACTTAGGTTTCAAATGTATAAAGTTCGTAGTTTTACTCCTATTAAACAAGTTTTGTCCCCCTCCCTCTTCCTCTCCCTTCCTGTACGTCATCTACATTCATTTGAAATCATATGTTGGATATTCGTTTAGAAGCTTGGCAACTATCTTGGAAAGTTTTTCAATTTTCTTATGACTCCTACGATATGTAAGGAGCTCGAGGTTGATCTATGTTTTTCCATGCCTAGTTATTTTTTGGCCGTTCTATGTAAGCTGCAAAAAAAGTTTTTCAATTTTCTTATGACTCCTACGATATGTAAGGAGCTCGAGGTTGATCTATGTTTTTCCATGCCTAGTTATTTTTTTGGCCGTTCTATGTAAGGTGCAAAACCTTGTACATGGGTTCAGCTAAATGCAGTGTTACTTGTCCACTTCATGTATTAATGAACCAGGTAATAGTTACATGATTTTGTTGTCCCAGGTTCTCAGTTCAGTTGACAAATCAAAAGCTAAACCAGCAGTCAGAGCAAGTGAGATGAATATAGCTGCCAAGGGTGGGCTGCAGCAACCTTCTTTGATTCATCATGGTAATCAATCTACTCATGGTGGGCATGTGAAGTCTGATATGCCAAAGGCATCTGGGAAGCTTTTGGTTCTCAAACCAGGATGGGAGAATGAGGTCTCATCCCATTCTCAAAAAGATGTAGTTACTCCAACAAATTGCAACAGCAAAGTTACAACTAGCCAACATGCTGCAGCTGCTGTTACATCTGCTCCCGCAAGAAAGTCAAACAATTCAAAGCATTCTGCTGGGGAACATAAAGCAGATGCTGTGAATCCAATAGCTAATTTCATTGTCGAAAAGAGATCCTCTTTGGCCCAAACCCAGAGTCGAAATGATTTTTTTAATCTCCTGAAGAAGAAGACTTCAACAAACACTTCTGTCGTTCTCTCATATTCAAACCCTCATATTTCCTCATCCACCACAGAGAAATCTGAAGTGTTAAAGGAAGTAGACAGTCCTTCCTCGACCTCTCAAGCTAATGAGAATGGTTCTGCAGCAACTAGCAATGGTGGCACCTGTCAAGAAGCTCAAAGATTTCCTGAGGATGGTGAAAAGAATATGAAGTCCTTTGCTTTGTTTTATCCAGATGAGGAAGAGGCTGCATTCCTTCGTTCTCTTGGCTGGGAAGAAAACTCTGGTGACGATGAAGGTCTTACAGAAGAGGAGATCAACGCATTTTATAAGGAGGTAAGTTTACCTTTATAATTTTATGGTTTTTCTTTCCTTTTATTGGTAACAGATTCATTTAATATTTTTTGCTGGAAGCCATTCTATGATAGTCTCTAATGAACCTTGTTCTATACTGGAAATTACATTGAGTTGTCACCTGCCCTATGCTTTCTTCTGCAATACGATGCATGCTACTTTCTGCTTGTTTAAAAGTATTGCATTTGAAGAAAAAGATTTAAGAACTCTTGTAAGATTAATTTCTGGATGCACGTTGCTTATTTTGTTTGTTGATTTTTCTTTGCAGTACATGAAACTGAGACCGTCTCTGAAACCACACCATAGCGTGCTACCAAGGCTGGCTCAATCTATTGCAACTAATTTAGATGGAGCTTCTTCGGCATTGAGCTCATCTGACTCCTGTTCTGAAGCTTGACTCTTCTATGCCCTTAGTAAAATCAAAACAAGATCCAATTTTTGATGGCAGATGATTAGGTTTTTCTTTTTTCTGGATGTCATCTGTTTGAAAGGAAGCTGATGAGTAGAGTTGGGTATGGGTTTAGGGTTATGAGAGAGTGCATTTTGCAAATAGTACAATAAGTCCTGCTCACTTGTAACAAGAGAATTTTTTAGGGTTCTTCCAAGGTTGTTGGATTAGCGAAAAAAGTTTGATATGGGGCTATTTTCTCTGTGCAGTGGGAAGATGATGCTGGAAAAAACTTGCATCTCGTAGGGGTATTTTCCTTCTTTTTCCTTTCAAGAGGGTTCAATTTTACAAGAAAAATAGCTTATTGTTGGGTTTTGATAAATTGTTTGGAAAAGGGAAAAAAGGGAAAAAAATCCATTTTTAGTTTAGTTTAAATTTCCATATATTGTTTATTGGATAAAACGAGTATGTTGCAATTTGTGCATCTTACTAACCTCGTAACCTACAATAAGAAGGGCTATGACGAACTTGACCAGTTGATCGCCCTTTAGAAGGGCTCTTTTGGGTTGAATTTTGTTCCTGAAATGAACAAGTTTGGTCAAATTAGTCCTGAACTCTATTTTTATCAGATCAACCATTAAACTTTTTGTAGTTGCTTATTAAGTTCAGGGTCAGTTTGGTTTTAACTTGTCAAGTTTTTGGGGTAATTGAACCAAATTTGTAAGGTTCAAAGGTCATTTTGACCCAAAGTAAAATTCAAGGGGATATTTTGCGGTTTAAGCCATAAAAAATATTGTTATTAAAAATAGATTTTTATAATTAAATTGAAATAAAATTTAGGATAAATTACAAGTTTAATATCTCAATTATTACTTTTGTTTCATTTTGGTCACAATTATAATTTTTATAAATCATATTGTATATTATATTTTGATTTCATTTTGATCATCCTTTTTAAATTATTGACAAAATTATAAATGTGGCATTTTAAAAAAAGTTCAATTATGATATGACATTATGTCAATTTCAACTAATTTTTTGAACGTGGTAATTAAAATAAAATCAAAACCTAATTTTAGATATGATTTAAAAAATAAAAATTGGGTGACTAAAACGAAAGAAAAGTGATAAGGTATCGAATGTGTAGTTTACCCTAAAAATTATTATCAAATTATAATTTGGGTTTCGTCTGTTTGAATTACTAAAATTATCGTTCGAATCGAACTGCTAAATTGACTCCTAGGCCTAGCCCCATTTAACCTGACGATTGTCTGATCTTAAGATGCAATTTTTGACACTGGCATTGTGCATTCAATATTGTACTTTCGGAAGTTCCATTGAAACAACAAAGTAGAACACAAAATTAGATTGAAACTGAACCAATTTTATTGACAGAGCACAGTTGGTCGAAATTATACTTGGCAAAATCACACAAATATTCAATTGAGCAGACCATGAATCGTACTTTCATAATCAGCTCAAGACAACAGTATAATACAAGATTTATGGAAAGTGAAACAATTTTCTACCCATTGATTAATTACAGAGGAAACACGCACATACCATTGCCTTACTTTCGAGTTCTGGTCATCAAGTGCAATGCCGGATTAGATTGGAGCTATATGCTATTCTGGGTGCGAAGTCCAATATATCAGCCCACTGCAATCAAGATTCAAATTAATGAACTTTATGAGTTTACGAATGAAATCGCAGGACTTCTTCTGAATTACAAAGGCAAAGAATATCTATGCATCGACTATCTGTGACTTAGGAGTCTCACTCAGACAGTAAAGCATGAATCTCACGATCTAATTATAGAAAATGTAACCTAATGTGAAATGGATGATGGTGGCAATTCTAAACCCAGAAAAACCATGTACCTGATTAAGACGAACACACACTGTAAGACACCTGCGGTACCAGTCCACACTGAAGGACCGGATTTCACTATCGAGTCCTGTATCAAGAGGCCCACTGAAGCAGCCAGTGAGACGAAGGATACAACATAAGCAAAGAAAAGCCATAGCTTCAACCTGTTGCAATGAAGGATTAGTATTCATAAGCCAAAGCAAGCAATCAAAGGACTACTGGGATTTTCATGAAAAAGAATCTAGAGTTTAGAGTACACAACCGAATTTATACAGGAATGGTTGGCGGATTCCATTTGGAACGACTAGAAATAGGCCACATACACAATCTTCCAATGGAGACAACTATATGAAAACCAGGGATATAGATGATAGAAGATGCATAGAAAGAAAACAAGACAATGGGTATCAAAAGCGTAAACACCATTAGTAATTCCAAATTGCTTTAATCCAAATAAATGCAAACCCCAAACCCTAAATCTCAAATTCTAATCAGCCAACGAATAGAATACATCGTTAACCATACTTATTGCATATTGTTAGCCCATATATAACATCTCACCCTCACTCGATGCTTTCAATACACGGTGCAAAATTCAACACATTTGCAAATAAAATTTGATTAAGCAAAGATTCGTTAGGCTTATATTGAATCCGAAGACCCGACGCTTACGAATTCGTAGTTCAAAGTAATCATCACATCAATAAACCTCGTTTCAATTAGCACAATCACTAAGGAACAAAACCCTAGGCAATTACTGAACTTTCGAATTGAGGGCAAAACTATACAGTTTTAACAATATTCAGTAACAGCGGTACAATCGAGCTCCAAAGAGCAGATCAAAAGAAAATTCCCAGGAAAGAAAAAACAACAAAAAAGCTGCAATTGAAATAGGAAACAATGGAATCAGCTAACCTCCACTCGCCGTCATCGTAAGGAGTGTAATCGATATCCTCTCTTCTAACACAATTGAACATCAAAGCCGCAATAGTTGCAAATATTCCTTTTAAAAAAAAGTAAAATTAAAAAGCAGTTGATAAATTTATGGGAAAACAGAGAGGAAGAATTCCGATGTACCAGGTAAATAGTGGAGGAAAGGGACGTTTACGGAGCTACATACGACGGCGTCGACCCAAAACCACCAGCCGGCACCGAACACGGCGCCAGCGACGCCGGGACCGAAGATCGCCCACAGTTCACTTAATTCCATTCCTGGTTTTCCGATCTAACAAATTGACTAATTATTGACAATCAAATAATGATTCGAAATATAAAGAAAACAAGCTCTTTTAAGTATAGGCAAAAAAAAAAAAATGTCTTATTATATATGATTTTAATTAATTTTTTGGATTTGTCTAAATGACCAACTAAATCGCAATGCGATCGATAATTCGCAACGCAATCTCCGGTATCGCAAATCAGTTTCTAGATTCGCAACGCGATTCTGACTATCGTATTGCGATTTTTCAAATTCGCGTTGCGATTTTCCTAATTCGCAATGCGAATACATAAATCGCAACGCGAATACGTAAATCGCAACGCGAATACGTAAATCGCAACGCGAATACGTAAATCGCAACGCGAATCTGACTATCGCAACGAGATTCTGACTATCGCAATACTGAATTTCAAATTCGCAACTCGATTTCTGAATTCGCAACAGGTTTTAGTTTCGCGACACAAATGTTTTGGGTATATAACTACGCAGCAGCAGCAACTCATAACCTAAATCCCTAAATCGCAACTCATTCCATCTCCATCTATCACTCTCTCCGGCGACATCCGTTCCTCCAACGACATCCTTCCCCATCCGACAACAGGTTTTAGTTTCGCAGCTCGTTTGTTTAGTAAATTAATTTGCAATAATGAAATCATCTAATGTTGATCATGTTTGGATAGATTTGTGTTCTGGAGGGTCATGGGAGAATGTTCATGGTGTTTTACAATATATGCCTTTACCCATGAATCTTCAACTAAAACTGTCATTAAAAAAGTTAACGTATGAAACTCTAATGTTACGTGTTGCAAATAAATTGAATTTAGAGCCCCTAAGTAGATTTAGGTTATCTTATCAGAGAAATGATAAAGTTTATTTGTTAACCGACAATGAAGATGTTGAACGATTCATTGCTTACATTAGTGTTTCAAGTGATGATGTTACATTGTATGTTGTTGAACCTAGAAGTAGTGAAGTTGGGTCAGTAGCGGGTAGTAGTCAACTAAGTTTTTCAACCCCAGTTTATGGTGCTCAAAATTTAATGGTTCCACCACAATTTCATCACCAAGCAAATATTGTTTCACCACATTTCCAATACCAAACACAATCTCAAAACCCACAACCTTTCCCTAATCCAAATCCCAATCAACTTTCAGCACCAAATTCCGGTTTTCGTATTGACCAGTTAGACGATGATGAGCCAACAAAAAAAATTGTGAGTACTAGTCAGTATTCAAAATTTGATCTTGGTCAATACCCGGACTTTGATCTTGGTCAATACTCAGATTTTGATGATTTTTCAGAAGAAGAAACAGACCCTGCGTGTAATGATTTTGATATTGGTCAATACCCGAATTTTGATGATGAAACAGCTGTTGCCGAGGAAGATGTTGTTGATGATAATGAGGAGGAAGTTACGACTGTAAATGAACATGTTGAACATCCATTCTGTAATTCATATAACCCTGAAGAAGAAAAAAGAAGAAGAAGAAATCCCCAAAGAAAAGTCCCCGAAGAAAATGCCACGGGAGTATAACTGGAATATGCCAGAATTACTTCAGATACCGGAAGATGAGTTGGTAAAGATAGCAGTTGATTGTCACACAAAAATTATTCGTATCAAGAAATATGATTGTTTTGATACAAAGGAAGACTTAAAGATAGCTTTGTATACGAAATGTGTGGAAGATGGCTATCAACTAAAAGTTAACAAGCAAAGATCGTTTCGAAACAAGGTGTATGATTGGCAAAAACTGTACGTGGCGTATAATTGCAAAGAGGATAAAAGATTGCGAAATGTTTCAAGTTAGGACTTTTATTGATAAACATACATGTTCAAGAACCCAAGTTTTTCCTCACCATAGACAGGCAAACAAAAAGGTGTTGGGTGGTTTTCTAGCTGAGTTAATGTTTTTGAATGGCAGGGTATATCGGGGACATGAAATTATGACTGACATGAATGCTCGGTTCAAGATTAATATCTCATATTCTCAAGCTTGGAGAGCCAAATGTTATGCCTTGGGGGGGTCGCCAGAAGCATCGTTTGCCCAACTGCCGGTTTATTATCACAATTTAAAGCTGAAAAATCCTGGGTCGGTAACTCATATCAAAACAGATAGAGATGGACGCTTTGAGTTACTGTTTATCACCATTGGTGCTGCGGTTAGTAAATCAATATAATTTTGTTGACTCATTTTTGTTAGTTACATGCATTTCACATTTAAATGATTATATTTCTTGTGTATATGATTTTGTGGATTCGTTCGTTTATTACTTGCATGCGCCCAGTTATTGTAGTTGACGGAGCACATTTAAAAGGTCGATACCTTGGAGTAAACTTATTAGCAGTAGCCATGAATGCTAATAATGGGATACTGCCAATAGCTTCCGGGGTTGGCAAATCTGAAACCTCTGATTAATGGACATGGTTTATGGGGCATCTTAGGGATTGCATAGGTCCTATTAGCAATCTGAAAATCATATCTGATAGGGCAAACTCAATTGACAACGCTGTTAGAAGGTGTTTCCCATACGCTTTTCATGGACTTTGTGGTGTTCATTTGTATAGAAATCTAAAATCAAGGTCTGCTGGTATAAAAAATCACAAATGGACATACTGGAAGGCTGTAAAAGCTTATCGGGAAGTGGATTTTAATAAGCATATAAATTGTTTAAGACGTGTTTTGCCTCAGTGTGCTCAAACACTAGAAGATGTCGGGTTTGAAAGATGATCAAGAGTATCAACTTGGAGCAAGATATGGTTTCATGACGTCTAATAGTGCAGAATCAATCAACGCTCTAAGTCGTCATTCCCGGAAATTACCCATTACTATGTTAATGGAGTTTTTTCGAGCCTCTATTCAACAATAATACTACAAGAAAAGAAACCGTGCAGGTATTATTTCTTTAAATTCGTAACTTATCATATATTTTACTAAGTATTATTTATTTAAATTTACAGGAACATTGGAACATCGTGTTACATCATGGACTAAAAAGAAGATAACGAAACGTGTTGTGAAGTCAACGTCATGGAGAGTTGAACCATGTTCAAACACTTTGTTTGAAGTACTGGATAATAACTTAAATGGGCTTATCGATCTAAATGCAAAGACGTGTAGTTGTATGAAATGGCAAACATCTGGTTATCCGTTTGGCCATGTTATAAAAGTTGCTCTTCATCTAAACCAAGATGATTCAAGTGCATACGCTATGAATTGCTACACTACAGAAGTATATCGACATACTTATTTCGAGATTGTCTACCCTATTCCACATCCTTCTGAGTGGGACATACCAGATGACTTACAAACAGTTTTGCCACCAGCCATGGACAGAAGGTTACCTGGCCGACCAAAAAGTCACGATCGTATACCGTCTAAGGGTGAAGAGAAGAAGAGATCGACATGTAGTCGATGCAAGGAAAGTGGTCATACAAGGTTGACATGTGGATCACCAGTGCCATCACAATCATCTTTTCCTCTACCAAAATATGGATCCTCATCAAAATCCCAATCATAACCGGCTTCACCTTTTGGGACTGTTAACTTAGGTGATTTTTAAATGCAAACGTTGTATTATGTGTATATTATGTGTGAACTTTTAACATTTTCAGTTAGGCATGTATTAGTAACTTGAGTTTGGATATTGCTATGATATGTTCAGTTGTTATCACTTATTAGACATTCATTTGACTATCGCAAGGCGGAAATCGCAACACGAATATGACTATCGCAACACGGAAATGACTATCGCAATGCGGAATTGACTATCGCAACGCAGAAATGACTATCGCAACGAGATAATCGCAATGCGAAATGAAAATCGCAATGAGAGAATCGTAATGCGAAAATGAAAATCGCAACGCGAATTTAGTTTCGCGTTGCGATTTTCATTTTCGCATTGCGATTCTCTCGTTGCGATTTTCATTTCGCATTGCGATTCTCTCATTGCGATAGTCATTTCCGCGTTGCGATAGTCTGTTTTACATTCAACATAATGCAGATTGAAATCAACAAATCAACTATTACATTTCAATCAATTAAACAAGCACAAATAATAATTATGTACATATCAATTAAACAAATCAACATTTACAAATCATCTTTTACAAATCAATTAAACAATCAAAAAATAATAATAAGAATTATTTCCTCATCAATTATTGAATCAACTTTTGCACTCATACATCCATTTCATGCAGCTCACTTCCGGATTAACCTGCAGAAACCAAACATTGAATCAACAACACTTTCTACACATCTAAAACCTACAGACAACAAATTATTGAATTCTAGCTACTTAACCAAAAACATTTTCAAACCAAAAAGAGTATATATGTTTAACAACACTTGCATTTGACTTACAAATTGTTTATGGACACTTTCATAACGCGGATGCAGGTAGGCATCGTCTCGCATATATCGTTCTAGCCATAAAATGTCAAAACCACAAGCCTACCGCACCTCTATCTCTAAGGTGAGAGGTAGAAACTGTGTACTTCCTGTCGTCAAACGCTCCAAGCACATGCATACGAGAGGACCACAATCACCTCTGGCTTTATTCGTTTGTTGTGGCGCGGTCTCGTCTCTGATAACTGTAACATTGAACTTCTTTGGCTTCTTGTTTCCAGAATTAGTCTAATAATTAATTGCATCCAAGAATTTAGCCAAATGAGAGCTTCATCCCTTAATAATATCTCTCAAATCAGACAATGATATGTAATTTATCATGCTGTCATATACTATTGTCTTTAGGGATGGGAGCTGAAGCTCGACGAGAAGCCAATGAGTACGTTCCAAAACAGGGATAAACACCTGTATCGAAATGTAATAATTCAAATTGCGCACTTATTTATGAACATCTTTAAAATATTTAAACAAATAAATACTAACCTTATCGACCTCCCACCAAGCAGGATAAAGTTTAGCTTGTCCATTAGTCAACACATATGATTCCTGTCGTTGATTCTTCAAGTGAACTACGTGAAAAGACGTCGGCATAATTGTATATAACATTTTTTTATATTT